CTGGATGATGACAAGGAACGGGATATCCAGGTCAAAGAAGCTCCACCAGGATAGCACAGGAGCACTGAGGAGTTCAATGAGATCGGAACATATCTGAAAAGGGAACTGTCACTTATGAATATCCTAAAAGCCAAACTGGCCCCACTCTGCTTTGAGCCTTGGTGACCGCTCTGTGCTCTAGTGAAACTGCCCCGCCATCCTCCCCACTGCAGAGAAAGCCTAGGCGCCCAGGATGTGCCCACCTGCTAGAGCAGGCAAAAGCAGAGTCCTGACCTAGGAGCCAGCTTACCCAGGCTGGGAGCCAGGACTGTATCACTCGGAACTCTTTACAGGCCTTGCCCACCTGGCCCTGGTGTCTTTGTCTGTCAAATGGGAACCCATAATCACCCTCCTTGCCCACCTTTCCAGGCTCAGGGGAATGAAGTCTCTCCTACGTCACTGAGCCACAGACTGTGGGAGGACAGGCCCACAGAACCTTCTACAGTCAGGTAGGACCCAGAGGCCCAGAGAGAAGTGCCTTACTCAAGGGCACACAGGCTGTCATCGAAAGAAAGCACCAGTGTGCTGCCTCATCCTGTGGTTGAGGGAGCTGGATTCCACGTGGCCAGCCATACAGTTCAAATCCCAGCCCTGGAGGCTTGGGAAAGAGGCCGGGTGCGTGTTTCTGAGGGGAAGGAAGGGATTTCCCTGCATATAATGCAATGGAGGAAAGAACATTGTGGCGGGACACGCCCCATTGGGGGTGCTTTCTGTCTGTCTGTCTCTCTCTGGTGAGTGCACGAGCCCTCTGACAATAACAAAATGAAACAACAACAATATACTGAAAAATATTTCACAATTAAATAGGTGAATACTTATACTTTGTTTTGAATATATGTCCATCATCATATAGCACAACGTAATGTTTCTTAGAGTTTTTTTGCTATAGGGCGCGTGCGCTTGCCAGACAGAGAGAGAGACAGAGAGATAGAAAGCGAGAGATAGAAGAGATAGAAATCACCCCCCAGGGGGGATGGCCACGCCGCAATCCCTTCTCCTCCATTCTCCACTCAGGATCTTGGGCACGCACACACGTGCACCCGGCGTGAGTTTAAGCCACCGGGTCCGGGACGCGAACTGCAATCGACTATGTGGGAGTCCAGCGACATAGCCATTACGCTAACTGCTGGTCCCTGTATTATGTTTTATTTAAATTGTGGTCAATTATATATAACATACATTTTACCATTTTACCACTTTTTTTTTTTTTTTTAATTGTCAGAGGGTGTGCATGCTAACCAGTGAGCAGCAGAGACAGAGAGGGACAGGGAGAAGCAGGGAGAAAGCATTGTCCCTCCCGGGGCATGTTTACCTACAGTCCTTTGTTCCCCATTTCTCTCTCCTGATGGGATTTGGGTCACACACACACACACACACACAACAGTGTATCTTCCAAGCCTTCATGGCGGGGAGTCAAACTGCAGTGGGCCACGTGGGATCTGGCGTACCTCAACCACAAGGCCGCAAGTCCCGCCTGATAGCATTTGTAAGTGTACAGTTCAGTACTATCAGGTTTATGTACATTGCTGTGCTACCAATCTCGAGAACTTTTCGTCTTGCCAAATTGAAACACTACCCCCATTAAACAACAACTCCAAACTGGGTGATGTTATGGTATGTGAATGAGATGGTCTTTCTTTCCTTTTCCTTATGTTTTTTTTTTTTTTTTCTTGAGAGATCTTTGCTATAGGGCATATGTGTTCATTGGGAAGACAGAGAGAGACAGCGAAAGCAAGAACTCCCGAGGGGGAATGGCCACACTGCAACCCCTTCTCCTCCTTTCTCCTCTCTGGATTTTGGGCACGCATGCACACATGCCCAGTGTGAATTTCAAGCTGCCGGGACTGGGACTTGAACTGTGGTTGACCATGTGGGAATCCAGCATCTCAACCACCATGCCGCCTCCTGGTCCCTCTTTTTTTTGTTTTAAAAACATTCGTTAGAGGGTGTGTCTGTTTTCTGGAAAGAGATAGAGGGAAAGCGAGAAGGCATCCCCCATGGAGGGTGGTCACACTGCAATCCCTTCTCCATTTCTCCCTTCAGGATTTTGGGCACGCACACACACTTCTTGGCATGTTTTTTAGCTACCAGGTAGTAGGCCATGTGGGATCCAGCTGCTCCAACCAAAACACCATTGGCTGGCCGTGATATGGTATTTCAGCAATGATGTTAAAAAAAGAAAGGAGGGGCCAGCAGATGGTATAGTGGTTATGTCACTGCACTGCCACATGGCTGACTGTGGTTTAAGTCCCAGACCTGGTGGCTTGAAAATTGTGCCGGGTGTATGTGTGTGCCTCTCCAAGATCCCAAGAAGAGAACAGAGGAGAAGGGACTGCAGTGTGACCATCCTCCCTGTAGGTGATGTCTCACTTTCCCTCTCACTGTTTGTCTGTCTCTCTCTCTCCAATAAGTGCATGTGCCCTAAGACAAAAAGTCTTAAAAAAAAAAAAAAGTGCCGGCAGGTGGTATGGTGGTTAAGGCACTGGACTCCCGGGAGCTGGTGGCTGGCTTTCTTACTTTTCCTTTCTCTCTAGCCTAATTAAATAATAATAATAATAATGATAATAAATAAATAAATCTTTTAAAAAGATAAAGAAAATAATTTTCAACCCTGCATCCCCTAGGTGACATTGGAGAACCAGCTGAAATGTTACTTCTTCCAAAAGTCTTATTACTCTTTTCCATCTTTCAGTATCCCAGTCCTCAAATGGAGCACTTCCTTTGTACAAAGCACCAGCCTTCCTTTGTACCATGCATGGTCAGTCTAGCCATGGCGGGCTGGGGGCTTGTGATGGAGGTCTGATCTCTGTTCCCCGTCCCTACCCAGTCTCGCTGTGTTGTGACCCTCCTGCCTCGGCCTCCTGAGAAACCAGGACTGCAGGTATATGCCTCTAGACTTGGCTTTTTGGGGTGCCAGGAATCAAAACCAGGCTTCCCTGGTCCCAGCACTTTTAAAAAGTGTTTTTGTCGGAGGGCATGTGTGCTAGCCAGAGACAGACAGTGAAACAGAGACCGACAGAGAAGGAGATGGAGAAAGCACCCTTGTGGGACGTGGTCATGCTACAATCCTATTTCTTCCATTGCTCCATCTTTTTGGGATTTGGGGCATGCAAGCACATGTGCCCAGCATGTTTCATGTTTTTCAAGCTGCCAGTGCCAGTATTCGAACCATGTGGAATCCAGCTCCCTTAACCACCAGGCCATGAGGCAGCACACTTGTGCTAGCTTTCGATGACAGCCTGCGTGCCCTTGAGTAAGGCACTTCTCTCTGGGCCTCTGGGTCCTACCTGACTGTAGAAGGTTCTGTGGGCCTGTCCTCCCACAGTCTGTGGCTCAGTGACGTAGGAGAGACTTCATTCCCCTGAGCCTGGAAAGGTGGGCAAGGAGGGTGACTATGAGTTCCCATTTGATAGACAAAGATACCAGGGCCAGGTGGGCAAGGCCTGTGAAGAGTTCCCAGTGATACAGTCCTGGCTCCCAGCCTGGGTAAGCTGGCTCCTAGGTCAGGACTCTGCTTTTGCCTGCTCTAGCAGGTGGGCACATCCTGGGCGCCTAGGCTTTCTCTGCAGTGGGGAGGATGGCGGGGCAGTTTCACTAGAGCATGGAGGAGTGGTCACCAAGGCCCAAAGCAGGGTGAGGCATGTTAGGAACGGGGCCCCAGCCCCCACTCTGGCATCCCTGTCCAGTCTCATTACTGTCTCTGCAGCTCAGCATGAACCAGTTGTTCATTCAGGCAAAACCTGAGGGTGGAGATTTCACAGCAGTACAGGGCAATGGAGTTCAGGCTGCAAAAAGTGTGTTGTGGCCCAGGGTCTTAAAAAGGGGGCCCAGGACTGAAGGCTGGAAACTTTCGCCCAGCAAGCCAAACTCCTGAAATCCCACTTCTGTCTTGGATATCAAGCAGTGGGGTTTTGAATGAGAAACCCTAAACTCCACTCCACTAGCACATCTTAGGGTCCAGAGAGTCTGGGAGGTCTGTCCAGAAGGCCAGGATGCCTGGGTGGGGTGGCAGCTCCAGGAGAGCACCTCCTGCTCAGACGCTTTGCCCCTCCATGGCTGGCCCTTTAAACTCAGACCATGATGTAACCATAGACAGCAAGGGATGGGAGGGGGACTGCAGGCCTGAGGATGGACTACATTTCCCAGCAGCCTCTGGTGAGCCACACCCCTCCCGGCAGGCACAGACTCACTGCAGACTATTAACTAGTCCAGTGCCATTTCCAAGGGTTTCTAAGGTGTCGCGCCATTCTGGGGGCGAGGGTGGGGTTCCTAAGGGGATGTCCTGGGCCATGGATGACCCAGACAAATCCGCCGTTCCGACATAGTGTTCCGACCGTCAGGCTGACTTTCCTGTCGGCATCCTGGCATCCCCCAGTTTCCTGGTGCAAACTCCCGCGTCCTCCTCTTCCCCTCTGCAGCCCCGCTTTTAGAATCCAGGAGTCAAACTCCCCGCAGGAACCCACTGTCTGCTCTCAGGCTCCCAAAGCTTCAGCCTTTGCCCGAAGTTGGTCCTCAGCGGTTACCGCTTTGGTTGTGGTAGCTCCACTTTAAGGCGTTGCAGGACTACAACTCCCGGCAGCCCCGGGGACTCCCTGACGCAGCCCCCCTCCTCCCCCCCAGCCCGCGGGGAGGTGCGGGCCAGGCGGGGGGAGGTGACTTGATGTCATCCTGAGCAGCTGGGCGGCGGGTGCCGGTGCGCACAGAGCCGAGGCTCCCACTGCGCTGCGCCCTGTCGGGTCGGAGTCCCAGGACTTCAGTAGAGGTCCGCGCGCTGCCGGGGCCGTCCCAGAGCCCGCCGTGCGTCCGACCCCGATCCGGGGCAGAGCTGGGGGCATGCTCCAGCCCCCCTCGGAGCCCGGGAGAGAACCCAGGAGCGCCGCCGCCCAGCCCCAGCGCCCGGAGAGGAAGCTCTGTGCTGGAGCCCTGAACTGCTGGCCCCCTCTCCACGGGGAGCCCTTGGCGAAGGAGCCCTGAAGAGCTGGCCCCCTCTCCACGGGGAGCCCTTGGCGATCAGCGGCCGAAGTCTGGGTTTCTGAGAAGTGAGTGTCCCTCCCCCGGGGAGGCTTGGGGGGCCAGGAAAGAAGAGCTGAGGTGGGGGAGGGTGCCGGGTGCTAGGAGGGGGGTGGCATGGCCATAGGGTCCCCATTCTTGGGGAGAGTACATGGTGGCAGGGTAAGTAAGCAAGCCCATTCTGTGAGGGACCAGGGCGAGGAACCAGGTCCCCATTCCAAGTAGTGCTGGCCGGGGGGGTTATTTTGGAGGCTGAGGCCTTTGAGTCTGAGAGAAGGGAGGGACAGGTCCTTGGTGAGAGAAGGTTGCACCCCTGTTTTAGGGTCTGGGCTGGGTGGAAGGGAAAGAAGACGTGGACAGCCGCAGAGCCTCTCCTGAACTGACCGCCCTGTCTGTCTCTTCCTCGCTGACCTTTCGGCCCTGACTTCGTTTTCAAAAGAGCCATCGTGGGAACCCTAACTGCACTCTTCTGGACCCCCAGGAAAGAGCTGAGGCCTGCGCCCTCCTCCTTTCCACCCTGCCTGCCCCCCAGGACTAGGCAGTTGCCAGAGGCCCTGGGGGGGGGCCCAGGACTGTTGTGTCCCCCCCCACCCCACCCCACACCCTGACAGGATGGGCCCAAGTTAGTCCACCCGGCCTCACCCAGCATCCTTCAGGCATAGGGAACCCCCTGGGCTCGGAAAGCTTGACCTACTGCCTGTCTGTCATGGAGACGAAGCTGCCCCCTGCAAGCACCCCCACCAGCCCCTCCTCTCCAGGGCTGTCACCTGTACCCCCACCTGACAAGGTGGACGGCTTTTCCCGCCGTTCCCTCCGCAGGGCCCGGCCCCGGCGCTCCCACAGCTCCTCTCAGTTCCGCTATCAGAGCAACCAGCAAGAGCTCACACCACTGCCCCTGCTCAAAGGTGAGCCTTCCGGCCTGCCAGGGTCCCTGAGCCCAGGAGGGGACCAGCAAGGCAGGGATGGGGAGTGAGAAGCAGCTGGCAGCTGCCATCAGAGGGAGTTGGGACAGTTACTTCCAGGCTTGGGCCTCCACCATCGGAGCTGACCCCCAGACCTCCAGCCCTCTCTGCTGACGCATGGCCTGAATGGCCTGTCATCTCTGGAGGTGGGGCATCTGGCGGTGGCACCACCCTAGGGGGCAGACCAGGGCCAAGGGTGGGGCCCGCTGCCTGGGCTCTGGAAGGCCACTATCATCCCAGCCAGCTGCCAGAGTCCTGGAGCTGGTGCTCAGCTGGGCTCCCTGTGATCACCACGTAGCCTGCCCCTTCACAGGGCCACCTGGTCCAGCCAGAGACCCCGTAGAGATCCTCCCCTTTTGACTCTTGGAACAGGGTACCATCTATGAGAGGGAAGATCGGGCACCTGTGGAAAGTCCGTGCATCCCGGGTTCATGATCTTGCTTTAAAAATCAAGCCCTCATACTCTCTGAGCCTGGGTTAGGAGGCTCCTGGTCCCCAGGAGTGGAGGATGGGTCAAGAGTTGTTTACTGTTTGAAGGAGAGGGACATGCCAAAAGCATGGGGTCTGGGGGCCACAGAGGCTCCCTGAGAAGCAGCCCTCGGGAGTTGGAGGGCCCAGCCCTGCCTAGAGCTGTGGTCACTGGGGCCCAAACTCAGCAGCCTCCCTTCTTCCCCAGATGTGCCGGCCTCCGAACTGCATGAGCTGCTAAGCAGGAAGCTGGCCCAGTGCGGGGTGATGTTTGACTTCTTGGACTGTGTAGCGGACCTCAAGGGGAAGGAAGTGAAGCGAGCAGCACTTAACGAGCTGGTGGAATGTGTGGGGAGCACTAGGGGCGTCCTCATCGAGCCCGTCTACCCAGACATCATCCGCATGGTGAGCACCTGGCACCCAGCCTCTGGGGGTTGCTGTCGGGGGATGGGGAGGCACACAAACCCTACTGACCCAGCCTGCAGAACCCTGTGTAGAGAGGAAAGCCAATGCTCTTGGCTCAGCTGCAAGGCCTACATCTCCCCACTCCCTGCCTGTCACTGCCAGGTACTCACTCGGGCCTCCTGACCTGCCCCACCTCTGCACCTTTGCTTATGCTGGAGTGTCTTTCCCCACCTCTTAGCTTCCCTGGCCTGGTCCAGGTGCTGCCCCTCCTATGGATCCTCTCTCAGTGCCCAAGCTGGAAATCTCCCTTTTCCTGCCTGGAATGCCCAAAGATCTTGTTGCACTGGACCTGTCTTCACTGGATTGTATCTGCCTAGAGGGCAGGGATGTGTCTTATCCAGCCTGGATCTCCCATCCCTGACCCAAGGCTTGTACAGGTTAGGCCTCTTCAGGTGATAGTTGCCCAAGACAGGAATTGTTTGCTGGGTTTGGTGCTCAGATTACCTATTAGGATTCTGGATGAGAAACCTCTAGTTTTAAAGTCTTTCAAGGGCTGGCTCGGTGGCCTGGTCTCATATGACTGACCCCACATTTTGTGTTCTAGATCCGGTGGCTTGAGAAATATGGCAGGCACGTGTGCATTAGTACCCCAGATCCCAATAGGAGGGAGAAATGGAGGAGAAGGAATTACAGCCTGACCATTCTCCAAGAACTTTCTCTTCCCATTTCTGTCTTTCTTTGGCTAGTGCACACATCCTCTGGCAAAATTAAAAATAAGTAAGTAAAGGCTTTCAAGGACTTTTCCTCAAAGAACTCTGATTCTTCCTCTCAGATCTCAGTGAATATCTTCCGGACCCTGCCACCCAGTGAAAACCCTGAATTTGACCCTGAAGAGGATGAACCCAACCTTGAACCATCATGGCCACATCTGCAGGTATGAAGAGCCAGGGAAGGCAGGGATGCAAGTTTCAAAAGACACCCAAGGAGAGGAGAGAGGAGCTCCTTAGCCCTTAGACTGTTGGATGAGGGCCACAGGGTGGGGTGCGTGCATAGGCTATTACTGAATCCACCTTTTGTCTATCTGCCCCCAGCTGGTATATGAGTTTTTCCTGCGTTTTTTGGAGAGCCCAGACTTCCAGCCCTCCGTGGCCAAGAGATACGTGGATCAAAAGTTTGTCCTGATGGTGAAGTGGGGGCCAGGCGGGGTGGTACTTTAAGCAAGGGCAGGGATTCTGAGTGGCCTATCTAGGGTGGGACCAACTTGGGGTTGACTTCTTACCTGATCCCTGATTCTGGGTCTCACAGCTCCTGGAACTATTTGATAGTGAAGACCCCCGGGAGCGTGAGTACCTCAAGACCATCCTTCACCGGGTCTATGGCAAGTTCCTGGGTCTCCGGGCCTACATCCGCAAACAGTGCAACCATATCTTCCTCCGGTGAGTGACCACTGCCCACTCAGCAGAGACATGGGGAAGGAGGGAGAGCTTTCGGGGAGAAGAATGAGGCAAAGGCTTCAGGCTATGAGGGCTCTTATGGAACACTGTTTTACTAAGTTCTCTCTTGGTAACATAGAACGTTGATTATACATTGGCCATGAAGTCAACAAAGAATGAGCATTTATTTTTATTTCACAGATGAAAAATAGAGACTGGTAAAGATGAAGTGGTTTTAGAGACTAGGTCAGTTGGGGGGCCTAAGAAACACATCAGACCCTTATTGTAGTGGTCCATAAGGACGCAAAGAGAGGTATTTTCTCTGTAAACATGTACTGAGCACTAACACCCACTGGGCATCAGAGGCCCACAAGGCCTTGTAGAAGTTGAGACCGTGGCTCTGAAATATGAGATGGCTTGTGTTTGAGTTTGGTTCCCATATTTGTTTGAAGCTGGGCAAATTACTTATGTTCTGTCCTAAATCTCTCATCTTTGAAATAGGGGAGCTAAATGTACTACTCAGGGACTATCATCAAGATGAAGTGAAGGGATGCATGCAAGCACTCAGTATAGCTCTGGGGCCGAGGCCGGTACTCTAAAACATTAGCTTATTGTTATTAGCTACAAAATAAGTACAACATGATCCCTGTTCTCGGGAGCTTGGAGTCCATGAGGTTCTCCGCTTATTAACTTTGGGGCATGTTTCATTTAACTGCTGAGTCTCGATTTCTTCATCCACGTAATGGATTTAATAAGCTCTGCCTCCCTGAATAATTTTGGGAATTACAATGAAGTGGTACAGAGTAGATGCTCTTAAGTCTTTGTCATTCTTTTGGCTAAGTGGCATGAAGCACAAAGGATGTAGGCTAGGTGCCTGCTGACTGGATGGGGATCAGATAATGAGGTGTAGAGTCTGGGGGAGGAAGACATGAGCTGGAGTGCTTCATCGAAAGGCTGAGCTGGGACTCAGAAAGGCAGAGGCAGCTGGGCTAAGAACGGTGTTTTGGAAGTGGGGATCCATGTGGGGCACTGGGAAGGGAGTGAGGTTTTTGGGTAGGG